AATTCGTGTTCTATGTCAAAAATAGGCCCATAATGATTTATTTAAGAGAACTTTAATTTCTTGATCAACTCACAGTTGCAAGATTTGGGAAGATTTGGAAGAATGAAATTTCATGAAGAGTGCTAGAGGGCTTGCTCAGCAAGTGATCTTAATTGAATTCTAGAATGATCAAAGAAATTGTCTTGTACAAACGTAACGTTTTCCCGAGTTAATTTGCTTATGGGAAGGTCTCGATTAAAGAAGCGATTAAATGCAAGATAAATTCCATGCTCTATCGACATCTCTAATTACTTAGTAAAACCAAAAAGTTATCTGTTGATAAGTTTTCTTTCTTCTCAAAAAGCCAAGTTCATCAAAAAATCCAAAACCAGATAAACAAATGGACAGAATATATATAAAAAAATTTTTGCAGCCAAGCGAGGTTCCATAGTTAATAAATCTGTCTGATTCTGTTGTATTTTCCCTGTGTGATATTCTTAACAGCGTTCCGTAGCTTCTTCAGTNGGAAGAATGAAATTTCATGAAGAGTGCTAGAGGGCTTGCTCAGCAAGTGATCTTAATTGAATTCTAGAATGATCAAAGAAATTGTCTTGTACAAACTTAACGTTTTCCCGAGTTAATTTGTTCATGGGAAGGTCTCAACTAAAGGAGCGATTAAATGCAAGATAAATTCCATGCTCTATCGACATCTCTAATTACTTAGTAAAACTAAAAAGGTTATCTGTTGATAAGTTTTCTTTCTTCTCAAAAGCCAAGTTCATCGAATGTCCCAAAACCAGATAAACAAATGGACAGAATATATATAGATATCTTTTGTTCAGCCAAGCGAGGTTCCACAGTTAATAAATCTGTCTGATTCTGTTGTATTTTCACTGTGTGATATTCTTAACAGCGTTGCGTAGCTTCTTCAGTTTCGTGTTTTGCGAGAAACGAACACTGCTGCGAAGTCAAAACAACATGGTAGTGACGCCGAATTCATTTTGAATTTCGGCAATTTCACAGCTTAAAGAGGTTTCCTAATTATTCCGTTGCATTGTTGATTATCAATGAGATTTTAAGCTAAACAATAGCTGGAGGGGAACACGGAAGGAAATCAA